ATGCTTTTCAGGAACTGGAGATCATCTGAGTGCTCACTGACTGCCAGAGAAATGTCCCCTTCTTGCTGATTGAGCAGAAAAGCCGTAATCCATCAGTCCCCTGATATCAGCAGTCGGATAGCTACTAGACCTATGATGTTGTGCTTTCCATCGTGAATAAGAAAAACAAGCAGAAAACACTGTGCTTCCCTTCAAGGAGCCTGGAATCGAACTGAGGACCCAGAAAGTCAACTAAAAAACACGAACGTGGTTCTAAGGTTTGTAAGACAGGGCATGATGGGTAGAGGTATTGTGAACAATCCAATCACATGGTGACTAAAACAAACGGAATCAGTTCAACTGAAAAGATGAACATGCCCTGACAGACAGCAAGAGAGGAAATCTCTAGAGGAAATAATTCCCACATTGGGTGGGGCCAACCAGCCACTGTTGTCAATAGGAAATCTGGCTACTCCCACACGTCACCACGAAGGGTCCTACCCCTGGCAGGCACGAGAGGACAGGCCTGTGCCCAGGCACAAGAGTGACTGTTGGCAAAAAGCCATCATGGAAATGACATTAGGAAAGGCAGAGAATCCTGTAAGTCGTAATGAGCCATGTGAGTAAATCAGAGAGGAAGAGAAGCGTTGGCCTTGGAGGAGCTGACTGAAAATATTGGGTTGTCAGAAAAGTCATGACATATTTTTTTCTATGTTCCTCACTGCAAAAATGCGTCATGCCTTTTCTGACAACCCAATCAAAGAGGAAGCATATATCACTAAGTAGGGACATGAGGATATTAAAATGGAATACTTGAAGGAAATGATTAAGTTCGTGTACCCAAAGCCTAAAAAGTGACCCCTACAATAGGATACTCCTGGCCCAAATGCACAGGAGCCTACAGCCTAGGCTCAGTAAATCAGGGCTCACCTGCGTCTCAGGCACCCCCCAAGCCGACCACTCCTCAAAGCCCTTTATGAAAGGATATTTAGGAAACAGCTGTACCCTTCCTGAAGACTTTTGCACGTATACTACAGTCAGAACAGGGCCCTTTTGGAATTCTACAGTAAGTAGGAACTTGGGGGTGAAGATCCTAATTTCAGGTCCACCCTGATTTGTCCTGCAGCTTCACGTGCATCATGAACAGCTTTTGGGTCTGTGAGAAGAGAGGGAAGGTGACGTAAGTCAAGGGGTCACAGTACGACAGGCCCTTGAGATGACCCTCAGCCTCCTAGGCCGCATGGTAATGGAGCAAAGGGAATTTCAACCTCAGAGTGTGGGGGAGGGGGGAACAAGGGGGTGGAATTGGGAAACAAGGTGCCCCCTGTCAGCTCTGCTCTGTCCCGTTTTGCCAGAAGTGTCTCTTAGCACGATTGGGCCTTTCACTCTCACCAAAGACAAAAAATTGGAGTTCCTCCTTTCTTAACCTTATTTTTTAAATTCTTGCCACCCTCCTCTTCATTTGGAAGACTCTTAAGATGTTCCAGGTCAAATCAGCGCTTAATAAATAGTAACAGTCAATAAGTAAAGATGAATTATTTTAACACGTTCAATCCAGAAGAGTGGGCTAATGGAGGGAGATAAATAGTCATGCTGCTTTTCCATAGGGGAGCAGACAAGGGGTGGGAATGGCACAGATAGGTCCAGTCAGAGAACTCATCTCACACTTTACACAGAACCAGGAAAATCCTGGTTTAGCTCCTTGAACAGACATGCAACCCAAAGTGACAAATAAAATGAGTGAAATGCACATTCATGAGGAAAAGCTACAAATTTTGAAGTGAGGGCAAACAAAGTCTTAGCAAAAGAATATAGAGGGGGATAAAGACAAATGGTGTTGAGAAAACTGGACAGGTACATGCAAAAAAAAAAACCCAAAACAATGGACCAGCCTCTTACACCATAAACAAGAATAAATCCAAAATGCTTTAAAGTCTTAAATGTAAGACTGAAACCATAAAACTCCTAGAAGAAAACATAGGCAATAAACTTTTTGACATCGGCCTCAACAATATCTTTTTGGGGTATGTCTCCCCAGCAAGGGCAACAAAAGGAAAGATAAACAAATGGGACTACATCAAACTAAAAAAGTTTTACACGGCAAAGAAAGCCACCAACAGGGTGAAAAGCCAACCTACTGAATGGAAGAAGACATTTGCAAATGATGTATTTGATAAGGGGTTAAAAACCAAAATATATAAGGAACTCATACAACTCAACCTCAGAAAGTCACTAAAATGTTTTTAACAATCTGTTTCTTCCTCTCTTCTGAGAAAAAAAATGAATGTTTTATATGATTGTAGTAAGGAATTGTAGGGTTGGTCACTGTTTGGCTTCCATTTGCTAACAGCAATATTAGCCCACAATTATGTTTGTTGTTTTTTTCAGTCACATCTTTTAACTCCTGACAGCTTATCTCTAAATAAGCCCTCGGACGAAGTGTCTTCAGACAAGGCTTTCAGTTTTCCCTCCATTGTTAAACATTCCCAAAGTGCTTCCTGCCATCATGATAATTCCACAGGCCGCCATGACAGGATGCCCACATCCAAGGAGAGGGAGACTAAAGAGCCTTCGTTCCTATTCGCTCCTCCCCTCCTGTGTATTACAGCCTCCCACCACTAGACCAAAATACCATTTCAATGAAATCTTAGAGGACATGCCTCTCTACAGGAATCAGAAGGTAACACAACACATTCTAGTCAAGCTCTGGCTCAGCAGGGCACTTCTTTTGAAAAGCATTTCTGATAACTATTTCCAACATCAAATAGGGATGGGGCGTCCTGCCTCCCACTGCAGTGATGTCCTCTGGACTCTATTCTGGGTGTCACCATCCTGCATTCTAGCTGTTGACTTGTTTTCCACCCACTGCCTTCTACGCTTCTTGAAGGCAGAAACCACATCTTCCTCACCTAAGAATCCCAAGGAACTAACACGGGTTCTAGAACGAAGCAAGTACTCAACTAATGTGTGATCAATACATGACTTCATCAGTTACTTTAATTCTGAGTAAATAAATCTGCAGTTCACAAAGAACTTTCACACTTAGTACCACCTATGACCCTAACCACACCCATGAAATTCCCCACAGGGAGGGGCCACAGTTGTCCCCATCTACAGATGAGATCATCAGTGCTGAAAGAAATCAAGTGTCTTGACTAATGTCACACAAGGAGCAGACAAAGGATTTAATGACTGTTTCTATCTAAATGATTTAAACTTTCTCATTAGAATCTTGTATCTGAAATAGAGGATTGTTTGGGACATCATGAATATTAAACTAACTTTTTTGGGTTCCAGGTTTTTAACACACGCTCATCATTTGTCCATGCATGTCTTTCTTTGATTTTATTCATCTGGTTTTTGTACATTTAATTATTTTAAATTATGTAAACACTGGTATAAATATATTGTATACCTTATTATGATTTAGGAGTTTATTAATGAACTGTTCTGGAATAATGGGAAACCCCAGGGGAGGAATATTCTTCCTGAACAACAATTCAGCATGATCACGTGGTATACTATACGAGCCCTCCTAGGAATGATGTGCACTAAGAATGTTAATAAGTGTGTGCTTGGGAGAGGGAGAGAGAGAGAGAGAGAG